TTGCTGCAGAAATATTTCAGGCAGTATTTTTTCAAAGAGAATATAGATCTGGAGGGACATTGCCAAGGTTTTAAAGATCAAAATGTGTGACTTGCAGTGTTATAATTGGATGGAAACAGTCCTTCAGATCTGAAACATCGGGTTCAGTTTGGCTTTTAAATCAAGCACCACATTTGAAGGATTTCTGTAGGACCTATACATCCCACCGTCTGTTTCCCCCACTCGGTAACAGTGAGCTCTGCTGACAGAGCCAATGAGGCCAACAAGGGTAAACAAATCCCTTCTGACATGACAAAGTGTTACCCAGTCAAACACTGCAATTCACATGAGAAAAACAAGACTACTTCAAATCTAACTCTACTGGAAATGCAAGCCTTGATTTAAACTCCCTTTTGCCAAAAAAGGAGCAGAACAATTACCCATTCTATTAAAGCAGCAATACAGAAACAAAGGCAGTACTCGGGCTTTGGTGGTATTTAAGGTAAAGTAACTGGAAGGAATGGCACTGTCTCCTCACCAAGATGAGGGGTCATGCTCCAGTCAGTAAGCAGGGTAGGGCATCCTGTCTGGCCACTGGAACAGTGGCATTAGCCAGGACGCAGGTTAACTCTTCCTGCAGCCACCCACCACTTGGCACGCTCCCTGCATCCTACCCGCTGCCTCCTCCCCTGACCATCCCAAAGGCTCCCTGCCATATTTTGGGATGGCCCAGACAGTGTTGAGGAGCCTGAGCTAGCTTTCCTCCTGACAGAACCACATATGATCATCTCCACAAAACCAACTCAATGCAGCTGGGACCACAGCCAGGTTTGGCACCAGCAGCTGTGATGCTCTGAGACCTCATGGACCTCTGACTCTTGCGAGGAAGGGTTCAGGGACCCTTGTAACATTGTCCCACAATGAGTGACTGGCTGCAGCAGTGGGACTCCCAGCCACAGAAAAACCTCATGTGGTCTGTGTCACCTCAGACATGACATTGTGGCATCCATCGCCCTCCAGCTCCAGCTTGAAACAGCCATCCATCCCAGCTCACCTCCTGTGGCCGTGCCAGGTTTCATGGCTGCAGAGGCTCCTGATGTTCCTAACCCCCACCAGCAGCATGGCCGGGACCTCCAGCATCCCTACAACAGACTTGTTCACAGTTTTCATCAGAGGAGGGGGAAGAAGAACAAACTCAAAGAATACCAAGAGAAAATAAAGATGCTGTCCAGCCACCACAGGACTAAAAGAATGTTGCTCTTTTAAGCAGAATTCTGGAAAGACAAAAAAATCTGTTCTATTTTGGGGGGTTTTTTGGTTTTTGTGGGTTTTTTAAGAAAATTCATCTTCTTTCCCAATGCAAACCAAAATACCAAAATGAACTAACCCTTTTTCCTAGAAGTTTTAAAGAAGTTGTTGTTTGGGAGGTTTTAATGCCATTCCCCACCCCCACACCCCCACCCCGAACATTTTCCAAAAGAAAAAAACTTGCATTAAATACTTTTTAAAAGATCTAGCAGTTAGTTTTGTTTGCAGAAGGGATAAATAAACCCAAGGATTTCCCACCAAACCTGGACAAAATACTACACCTATAAATTCCTACAGAGATGCCATTTCCTTATTTCACCTCTAGCTGGAAACACGGTCAAGCCCAAAATCAATGACTTTATGAAGAGCAGCTGTCACGAGGAGAAAACCAACTTCTCTAAGGTAACTTGAGCAGTACCTCAGAAAGGGACTCAGATGACAGCAAAAAGCCACTTTCCCTTGTGCAACCCCTTCCAGTCCTCTCTTCTTCACCCTCCCCAGCAGCAAAGCCCCTTACGTGGCTGGTCAGGATAGCCTCAGCCTCCACTAAGGCACACCAGTTATTCAAAACAAAAGCAAGAAATGTCAGGTGTGAACATAACCACGGCCTTGGGAAGCACCTACATCCTCGGTGCAAGTGGCAGCAGCTCCGAGCACACCAGCTGTGCACTGCATTGCATCTCCTGTCTCCATGCACGCTGCAGCGTATGGCCATGCAAAACCCAGATCTGGCTGTGCGCTCACAAGAGGGAAAATGACACTGCTGACTTCTGGTTAACCTGCATTTTGGGATGTTGCAAGGGCAGCTGCCAGACAGATCTGTCAGCCCTCCGAAATTATAAAGGTGATGCTGTCTGCTGAACTCAGGCTGGTCTTAAAACTGAGACTCATCTGCTGCAAGCACACCCTCCCAACGCTGAGAAAGCACAGCCTTCAAACATGCATGAATAAATGACTGAGAACATCTTTATCAGAATTTCCAACACAAAAATGTTTTTAAAGAGGAGCTTTTTCACGTGGATGTCTCATCTAGAATACCAGCATCTACATTTTTGCAGGTAGAATCTGCCCTAACTTGGCTATGAAGTTTCAAAGGCATTTCAGGCCATCACCTCTGTGCTTTCAAGCCCAAGACCTTCTTGTGCCCTATTGTTGTCCTGAGTTTCCTGAGAAGGGTCCCAAGTAACTGGATGATATCTTTCTCCTTCTGTTTTGGTTCACTTTGCAAACGATACTTGCCCACAACAACAGAACATCGCTCCAAGAGCATCACTGGGGAATTGAGATAACAGATGCAAATTCACACCCATCTCAGACCACACCAAACTTCTCAGATCTTGCTGCGGTGGTTCCCACGCATGAACTCACTGCAGACCTGCTTTCAGATCCACAGCTAGCTCAGTGTTTGCCCAGAGCAAGCGCTTTCCTCTGCAGAAGACACTCCATGATCTAAGGAAGAGAGGTGTTCTTCGAAAGCTGCAGTCATTTCAAGCTCCAAACTATTAGGACTACCAACAATTAACATTTTAAAGCAGTTTTGTGCCCCATCTGCTCCCAGAATGTATGGCACAACCAACACATTGTAACAATTTTGCTGTGGGATCCTGATTAATCTAACTATAAATCACTGTGAAATTCATAATTAAAATATTTCTAAGCAGACCACCATCAACATTTGCAGGCAAATACCCAATTGTATATGCATGTTTACAAATACCACAGCTGTCTATATGTTCTATATGCTTTATCTTAACACCAACTAGTCATGGGCAAGCAACACTGACGTAAATGCTTGCCTTCAAAGCGGTGAGTAAATCCAATGGATTCATTCTCACCTCTAACCTGCATTTAGGGAGACACAAGCACAGAGCATTTCAGCACCTGTGCAGTCATTCTGTATTTGGGGTTCCAGAATCATGTGTGTGCTATCAAAGGCACCTTAAAATCAATTCTGGTCACTCTTTAAGCACCTGGAAATCTCCACAGATGGCAGTGCTGACATAGCTGTCCCACCTCAACTGCTTCCTGTGCTCCAGCTTTAGGGACTGTGCACTGTCAGCCAGAACAGTGCCCACCACCCCCTGAAGCACCTTCCTACCAGCTCTAAAGCATCTGAGTGCCTGGGCCAACATCCTGCATTTACACAGCATCCTACGCCTAGAAATACCCCAAATTGCTTTGCAAGCTCCATGGCTTTGATGTGCCTGTTGGTAAAGAGCACAAAGCACCCACTGCTGAGACGCACCAGATGTTTAGTAACAAATCCCAATTCTTTAGCTTTGCCTTGCAATAGCAGACAAAAGTCAGGGGCAGGAAGTAAAAACACCATAATAATTTGAAAACACAGAAGAAATTCAGCCAACACACATTCCAGATGAGTGTTTGGGAGATTATAGAATAAAACTGGCATTTCCCTCCTGAATAAAAATATTCTAGAGTAGCAATTTCAATCTTTTGCAAAGAACAAGAAACACTAAAAGCTGCTTTCTGTAGGAATGTTTTCCTCTTGTCCTCCTTGACTGTCTCCAAAAGAACTGGAAGCAGTTTTTTCCTGCAGACACTGTAATAACATATGCACCCAGCGTATAAGTAGCTATCAAATAAAACCCTCCCAGAACTCTGCCAAATCATAGAATCCTAGAATTCTTTAGGTTTGAAAAGACCTTTAAGATCGTCGAGTCCAACTGTTAATCCAGCACTACCAAGTCCACTACTAAACCATGTCCCTAAGTGCCACATTACATACTTTTTGAATACCTCCAAGGATGGTGACTCCACCACTTCCCTGGGCAGCCTGTTCCAGTGCTTGACAACCCTTTCAGTGAAGAATTTTTTCCTATCCAATCTAAATCTCCCCTGGCACAACTTGAGGATCTTTCCTCCTGTCACTTGTTACCTGTGAGAAGAGACTGACACCATCCTCGCTACAACCTCCTTTCAGGTAGTTGTAGAGAGCAATAAAGTCTCCCCCAAGCCTCCTTTTCTCCAGGCTAAACAATCCCAAGTTCCTTCAGCTGTTCCTCATAAGACTTGTGCTCTAGGCCCTTCATCAGCTTCATTGCTCTGCTTTAGGCAGGAATCAGACGCTCTCCAGCACCTCAGTGCCTTCTTGCAGTGAGGGGCCCAAAACAGAACACAGGATTTGTCGCCAGTGCGATGTACAAGAGGACAATCACTTCCCTAGTGTTGCTGGCCATGCAACTTCTGATACAAGCCAGGATGCTGCTCATGTTCAGCCAGCTGTCAACCCACACCCCAAGGTCCTTTCAATACAGTATCAGTCATTTTGTTCCTCGGGAAAAAGGTGTGCCAGTCATGCTTCTTCCATTTTTGTCCTCAAAGCATTCCTGTAAAGAGAATATATCAACACAAACTAGCTCTGACAAATGCTCCACTTCCCAGAGGTTTGTTCCACCTGACTGCAGGATCTGGTTTTGAATACAAACAAAAATGTAGGTCATTGAAAGGTCCTGTTGCCCTCTGGACCTCCAGTTTTCCCATGTTTGTTTTAAATAACTCTTTACCTTGGTTCCACCTGAACATTTACACAAAATGAAATAAGGTTGAAATAGCCCAGGTAGCACGTGACAGCTCAGGCAAGCACAATGGTCTCTTCCAAAGTGGTATAAACTTCTTTCTGACCTGGAGGAGAAGATAAATCAGACTGATCCCAAGAAACAGCTTGTCTGTAAAATGGGATATGCCTGTATGCATCACTTGCGTTGTTCATAATCTCTGTACTCATCCATGTCCACATCCGAATCAAAGAGGGAGTGTCCAGTGTAATCCGTGTCAGGGGTTTGAGAAATACTGTTCCCTTCCTCATCAAAGGTTTCTGTCCTTGAATAAAAACTGAAGTCCTGCAAAGGGGAGTAAGTCTTGCTTGCTTCACTGCTTTCCTCAGATTCATACAGAGTGTTATCATCATCATGGTGCCATTCTGGCCAAAATTTCCTCCTTATTCTTTCACAATACATAGCAAGGTTAATCAGTTCACCTGCAACATAGCACAACGAGTTCCAGTAAATACATACAGCCAACAATGCTCTAACTCACCTGTTGATCCAGAAACAGGTTAGCACTGTTTGGAAATAAATTGTGCCAATTCTTTCCGAAGAGGTATCAAGTTCCAAGATCCCATTAATCCTCTGCTTGTAACTTAAAATACGTATTATTAACCTACATGCAACAAGAAAGGCTACACCGGAATGAACATAAATGCATGTAGCAAAACAACTACCCCAAATTCAACTTCTACTGAAAAAAATCTGGACAGGATACTAACACTAAGTTTTTCATAGTAAAATTCTTGCTTATTTTTGCATAAACCCGTTTTCTAAAGACAGAATTTGATCCTATACATACACGCTACACTTATTAAAATACAGTGAATTTGGGGTTTTCACCACCAGATGGCAGCGTTGTCTGTAAGATAAAATCACGTTTTCCTATGGTCACTGGCTCACACCTAATGTTCTCAGCCTTAGTACCTTACGCCTTACGTTTACACACACGTATGCTTAGAGAAGAACTCACAGAAAACTTCAAACTAGTCTATGCCTCCTGACTGTTCCTTTAGTAGCACTCTCTTGCACAGAGTAGATCTACAGGTCAAATTCATTCCTTTTACACCTAATTTCACATCTTTTTCCTCCTTAGTTCTTCCCATTTTTCATACTGTGTGGTTTGATCCTGAAAAGGGATGCAAACATGCTTTCACACGCCTGTAACAGCACAAAAGAAAAAAATAAAAGGAAGAAAAAAGAAGCATGTAGGGGAAGGGTACGTTGCTTTCCAATTCACGCAAAATGACAGCATCTCCAAAGTCAGGCTGCACTTTTTCCTTGCCCAGCATCTCCAGTAACAGCAAAGGCTGCAATTTCAGCAACAACCTGCAGTTTTATCATCAATGAAAATTCAGTGCAGCAGAATTTGGCTCATGGCCATGTTTCTGTCTTCTCATACTTCACCCAGCATTCATTCCTCAGAGACATTCGGTTTTTGCTGAATATTAAACAGGGAAAAAAGATCAAGGACTGGGACAGAAACAATTATCGTGTAGAACATTAAAGAGAAGACAAGTAAGAATTTTAAAAGAAAACAACATTATGGGATACATAATGTTTCTTACCTTTGATTAGTCTCTCTGGTCGAGTCCCTGGTAGTGTCCACATTGCCTGTGCCAGATGCCCAAAGACGGTGGCATCAACAGTGGAAATCTTTGGTCCCATAATGTACTTCTTGTCACCTGTAAATACAACAGAAAACATTTAAACATTTCTCAACTGGATGTCACTTCTCAATTAAAAAATAAAACAAAATAAAAATAAAATCCATGTTTACTTTTTTTAAAATTTAAATCACTTAGCTTAAAGGTTCACTCATTCAAAGACAGGAATTCAATCTTGAATACAGTTCAAAAGCTGTTTGCCAGGGTTCAGTGGGTGAAATCCATTACTGCAGCTTCCCCTGTACTCACCACTTCTCTAACTAGACCAATTACAGAGCCACTGCTGGCCAAGTAACCTCCTCCACTCATCACAGCTGGCAGAGCATATACCCTGCACTAGTTTTGCTGCATTTAAGACCTTCTCTGCAGCCAGCAAGTCCTTGAAAGCATGATTCTTTTTAGTGCAAACACAAAATCACTCAGACATCATTTGAAATCATGAATGCACTGAAAGAAGCTGGCCACCCAGCATCTCTTGTGCGTGCAGACCCAGTTTCAGGTTACCCAGCTGATCACATGAGAAGAGAAAGTCACACACAAAGCTTTCCTCTGCCACCATTTGTTCAGGCTGCAAACAATGCACCAGTCAGACTGTCAGCAGCTGCTCAGAAAACCTAACCCTCCAAGAGGAGGACAAAACCACAGGCAGGAGTGAACAGCTCCTCTCTTGGACCACCAGTGCAGCGCCCCTACCCCCAAACACTGGCTCTACCTGGCAGGGAACCAAGGCATATCAGGCACACAGGCAGGCAAGTGAAATGGCAGCCCACTGGGACTGGCCTGGTCCAGAGGAGGAACATGTCTGCTCCACACTGCTATTCTGCTTACATCTCTGGGCATCCCACTGCTATGATGGTCCTAAGTGGCCACACAGCACCAACAGATGGATAAATGTGCACACAGGTGAAACATGCAGTATTGCAGAGGTCAGGTTAGATGGTCGCGCTGTTCCTGCCTTATCCTGAAGTGCTATAAACTCCATAAAATGTGGTAATTCAATTCTCCAAATCCAGTTATCCCATCCCCCCAGGACATTGTTCCTCTGCCCATAATTCAGCTGGTTATTAAATGTTAGGGTTATTGCATGAGTTTAGAAGAACTGTCCAGCACTAAAATGCATCAAATTCCAGAGTACAGTACAAAGATTGCTGTCATCTCCCAGTACAACAGTGGAACAAAGCAGTGCTCAGGAATAACTGGTAACAATAAGCTCCTCTAGCCTGTCAGATGTCATTTTAACACGGAGTTAACTCCCCAGCTCTTTCACAGGTGTATTGATCTACTGTTGGAAAACTGTGTATGAGGTAAACATGTCTTTTCAGTATTTATGTGACACCTAGCATTCAGCGATCTCAAACAAAGCTCTAAAACTGGTCTCCAAACCACAGTTATGTACCAACATCAGAATTTAGCACTATACAACCAGATATAGCTGTATAGTGAAGACTCGACCATAGAGATGAGACTCAATCCATAGAGATGCTGCCCTGGGAAGGAATACTGCCATTTCCATCTTGGTACAACTGAGGCAAAGGGGAGAGGGCTGAGCTGTCCCACTCTTTCGCAGAGTGGTTCCCCAAGCACAACACCCCACACTGTCAGTTGTGTGGAAACAAAGGGCAAGAGGAGGAAATAAAGCTGGGGTTCCATAAAACTATAAATCTGCTAGGTCAATCTGCACCATATACCATGGCCTCCATGCCCATTTCCTTCTACCAGTTCCAACCTGTACCCAAAACTTCCAGGTAACTTTTATCCAGAAGACTTTCTGACAGACTGGGTATCTCTCAGTGTCTAGTTTTAAACCAGATTACACAGAACCTGTCACATCAAGGCTGCTATAGTGCTAATCATCACAAACACATCTCTGCATCCCCTGGCTAATCCAACAGAAACGTAATCACCTCATCACACCCGGGCAAATTCATACTGCCGGGGGGATCTGAAAGCACACAGCTCTTCTATTTATGAATGCATGCACCAGAGGATTCAAAAGCAGCTACTTCAGCACTGGGTCAAGAATCAAGAGACAGATCTGTAAGGCACAGGGCAGGCACAAGACCTGCACCCTTCCACAGCAGCACGTAAAGCCCACACAGGCTGCCACAGGGCATTTCAACTAGCATTAGAGGCTCAACTTCAGGTTGGTCCCACCTCTGTGTTTCAGCCCTGAGCACCCCTGCCCTCCACAGAACATCAAATGGTTTTCAAAAGCTGTTTCCAGCAGCTGCTGCCCAGCAACTCCCTGCTCAAAATCCCCATTTATCCAAAAGCCTGAGGCAGGCACACAGCTGAGAAGGCACCAACAGATTTATGGGCACTGCTCACTGACTTGCATCTTAATAAATGATCAACCAAATGTATATCCTTATATATTGCTAGTTCATATGCCCGCTTCCCCCCCATCTTCCTTACACTTCTACCAGGCAGCAAGGAACTTCTACAGCACGAGGAAATTACATTTGTGGTTTAGAGACTGCATGACAAAGAGCAAGATGGTATCAAGGGGGCAGGCTTATCCACCACACGAGGTTTAGGCCAATTTTCCACATTTATAAGAGATCTGGAGAAGTCTGTTAGGGAAGTAGGTACGTAAGAAAAATGATTCTCAGAAATTACAAAGAAAGAAAAAGCCGCACCCAAGATGTGACTGGGAATGTCAAAATGAGCGTCACAAGATCTGGCAGCTGCCAAGTTATCATTCTCTGGAAGCAACTCTTAGAATTTAAAAGTTATTCTTGTTCCCATGAGAATGGGCTCTGTTAAAAAATGGGGAGTATTAATCAATCTGATATGCCTGATGACTGACAGCTACAGTTTGGCACATGGAGCTATGCTGCATGACAGGCATCCTTTGTAAGCTCATAAGATTGCCCTCTAATTAACAGCCAAAATCCCAACTGCTTCCTCTTCTGGGAAAATACATCAGCACATGTACGGGGAAGGGAATCTTACAAAGATTCTTGTAGAGTCAGTAGGCTGACTGACTGCCTTCTCCTTTCCCCTATGAAACAAGGGTGTCTCCAGTCAGGCTAGAAGACCTCATCCCACCTCCTGTTCCCACTCCAGGATAGCACATGGAGACCACAGTTACTAGATCCAACCATAAACAGCTGGCTGGAGAAAACCTGAGCAGGCTGACATTAATGAAAAATCAAGACAATTATAGAGGCAGACAAATGCAGGAATAATCAAAAGGGCTAATACAACGATTCACTTAACTGCACACTGACTAACCCAACATCCATTTCAGAAGGCAAGATGAAAAAAATGCACAATATTCAGCTGTTAATGTAGTAAAATAACAGGTACACAGCAGATGCCCATCAAGGCTTTTTGAAGCACACAAAGCACAACGTTCTCATCAATAATCTGGAAGTAAACATAAAACCTCTGCTGATAATATACGCAGACCATTTTAAAAAAATTATATAGTGAAGAAAACACCTTATCCTTGAGGATTTCCAGTGATTTTTCCCACAAAAACCAGGAGAGACCAATTACAGCATTGCCCTTCACGAGGAGATGACCCAGGCCACCCAGGGAGGGAGCAGAAACCAGGAGGAGCATCTGCCTGCAGGCTGGAATCGGACAAACTCCAATTTGAACAGGTCAGATTTTGAGCAAGATTTTGGTGGTGAACAACATCTGCCACCACTTGCTAATGAAAGTGATGGCACCTCCCCCTGCTGAAATCTTGTAATTAAAACTGGATGAAAGACGTAACTCCAGTCAAAAAAGACACGGGCCTCAGGACAGCAACCAAGCAGTCCAATTCCGAGATCTATCTAGATTTCATGTTCCCTTTTGAACTCCAAACTTTACAAATCTGAGTGTCTGTATAGACTCCAGAGACAGAAGGATGCAGACTTCAAATAACCAAACCAAGAGGCTCCTACAGGTACTCGGGAACATGTTTCAGTTTTCTCTTGAAGGCTATGTCTCTTCTAGGCGGACAGGGATGACTTCAGCACGGACACATTCACTGCTGCTCCATTCAGCCTGCCAGCATTGTCTATCCAGAACTAACGGGTTCTGTTGAGCTCCCAAGTCATAGATTGAACTCCCTTCAGCTTCCATCCCCATTCCTCTTTGTGATGTACATGGAACCATACAGCGCCAACTTTGAAGCTATGGCAACAGTAGCTCCACAGTTGAGGACACCTTGAGCTGGCCACAGCTCTGCAGCAGATGCGCCCAGACCTCTTCTAAAATGAGCTGCTGCCTCCCTTCCTCCCCCAGAAAGAAAAGGGACCTCAAACTCCACGTTTTCTTTGAGAAGGCACCAGAGTAGGTAACTTTTTTTGTTAACAAACAAAATACAGCAAGAGAAAGCACTGACAGAAGAGCTGTCAACGATTCTTCCCCTTGCCTAATGCATCCCTTGCATTGTACTGATGCATCACGTGTCTTTTTTTCACTTTGCTCCTAATCCAGCGGATTCGCAGGTTTGTTTCAGAAAACAAAGTTATGGAAAACTCTACACAACCCCATCTAGGTTCTCCTTTCCAAAACACCTTGGAAGTCCAGAAGCATCTCTCTTCCTCTCCCTTCTGAGCAAGCACTCAGTTTCTGCCTTCTGCTGGGCTCTCCTCACCTTGCTCCCTTCATCCATTCCACCTGTTTCGAGCACAGGGTTCCTACCCTCCACTCAGCCACCTCTTTAAAGCAATCACAAAAGGGAACAAAGTAGCCACACAGGTACCATCTCTTATGGTTCCTCGTGCAAGAGAGGGACATGCTCAAGGGAAGAAACAACCTGCTCCAAACCAACTCCTCAAAATGCAAATTTTACACAAAAGCACAAGATGGTTAGCTCTCAGCACACTGCATAGGGAGAAACACAGTGTAGATAGCTCCAGTGCAGATTTCAAGCCTGAGCTATGCAACAGAAACAAGGCCCATGCAGTTCTAGCTGAGGCCAACCTTAAGACTAACCCCATGGGATCCACTCATGGCAACCAAGAAGCTTAAAACCACCTATTTTAATAACACAGACCCATCTCCTACAAGAAGCTTTGAATAAAGCTGCTAACACCAACCAAATACAAAGTCTAGCTTATCAGCATCTGCAAAGGGTTTCAAATGGCAGCGTCCTAACAATCCTATCAAACACCTATGAGTCTCATGAAGAAAAATGAGCCCCCCACCCAAATATAAGTAAGTTTCATTTGCAGAACTAAACACTATGTTTCCCTACAAAAAGCTCTTCTAAAATAACAGGCCACTTTCTGCTCCTCTAGATACACGTACCTGGTGCCACTTACTCCTCTAAACAGACAACTTGGTGGCAAACATCAGGGAAAGAAACACTGTCCCTGCCAGAGTTAGGGTGGCACTGCATGACAACAGCAGTGTGGACTCTGCCTACTGACAAAATGAGATTATTTGTGTACACAATCAAGCTGCCAGTTGATTCCATCCTGCAGACAGTGGGCTGCAAACGAACAGCACGCAAGTAATTCGCTGTATGTTACCCAGGAGGCTTGCTAGAGTCCGCATGTCCTTCTCCATCAGCGTGTACATCTCCTCCTCTGAGAAGCGGCCAATGCCATGGCCAAACATCTCCCGCTTCACGATCCCTTTGGTCAGATGACACAGGATCCATTTCAGCAAGTCGCTGAAGGGGCCAAAAAGCGAAACCATCTTCTGAGTCTCATGAAGATTTTCCACCCACTGGCAATAAGTTAAAGTCCTAGAAGAATGCAAAAATAAGTTACAGTGGTGCAATACCCAGACAGCCCATGACTCCCCTGCAAGGGCTCACACTTTGCGGTATTTAAGCAGGCTGCCCAGTGCTTATTTTCTCAGTAAATCATCACTTCAAAAGCAAATGAGATTCACATTGAAATATAAAATAAAAGTTCGCATAACAAAGTGCAGTGCCAAAAGCATTATTAGCTATAGATGACTGACTGCACAGACCTGGGGAAACAACAACAAAACAGCCCACAAAGAAACCAGTCTTTCGTACAAACATAACTTGTTTTCTATACTGCTGAAACATGGCCAAGCAGCAACTGTGCCCCAACATAAATATTGTAGCAGTCATTTTTCAGATCTCTGCTCTCCTCAGAAACTTACATGACACCATCTTTTAAAATCAAATTTAAAAAGCGAAGGGGTGGTGGTTATTGGGTTGGTTTTGTCCTGTATTTCCTCTCTTCAAAATGTTGATTTTAACAGCAAGACATTTCTAAAGGACTCTGTTGTATTTTGGGCTGCATTTCAGCTGGACTGAATGACAAATATATTTCTTCGAAAGGTCTTTTTTACAAAAATTCATCTTACCAGCTGAAATTTTTATTTCCTATGTGAAATTTTGTTCTTTACTAATATCATAGGCAAACAAAAAACTGATTTGCTGCTGTCACTACTCAAGAAGCTTAGGAAAACAAACCAAGCATTAACTTTCTGAATATCTAGCATCTTCTGACATTATGAGGAAAACAAAAGGACCACCTGAATTCTGCCACCAAATTCAAGGAATGTTGGAAAAAGGACTAAAAATATCTCAAAGTAGACATCACAAACATATGAAGCCAACACAGGCCCACAAACACTGCAAGTTGATACCCATATTCTATTGTGTTTATATCAGTTTCCAAACTGAAAAATCTAAATCTGGACTTACATATTTGAGATCATATAAAAACAGGCTCACAGAGACATAATAAAATAGTGAAGCTGGACCAAAAAGTTGAAATATCAAAAGTTGCAAGTTCATGTATGCAATTATGTTAAATACTAACTTAATAAACACATTTCCATTTCCAATAGGATTAGAGCTCCTTTTTTTTTTTTTTTAGTTTGGAACACGATTTCTAATTGCATTTCATCTCCTTAGTGCTGGTATGAATCACCTAATTCAATTTAAACAAAAAACCAGTAGCATCTCCTGGACAACTCCTGTGAGTTTCTGTTTTAAATCTAACTCCTGTATGTCATGAACAGAAGCTGAATTCATCATTACCACCAGAGAACAACTATGTTTACACCACAAAAATGTTCTTATCTTCAAGTTTCCACAGATTCTTTATATGAATTACTAATAACAAGAAGTAAAAGGAGAGTATTTGGCATAACAGCAAATCCACTTACAGCTCAAATTTAGAATGCTCCCAACAGAGCGAGTGAAAGGCACTTTAATTCTATTTAAAATTGTCCACTGCAGAACAATGCCTTCTGCTCAAATTGATTTCATTAAAGTCAGAAACAGAGAGGCATGTGCAGGTTTTGCTGCAAATGCATGAACACTGAAGAACAAAATACACCTGCTATGTTACTGATGGCTTTACTCTCAACAGAGGTTTTCTCCATAATCACTTGTGCTATATTAATGACAAAAGCATCCCACTGACACTTCACACGCTTCAGTAACACTCTTCCAACTGGGGGTGTCCTGCACAATCCTTGTTTTTTACAATGGATGGATCAACTCAAGTCATTGAGCTGGTTTCAGCACAGCAGAGTTTGAAACAAAGCCAGAGTTAGTGAGAGGCACTAGCACAAAAATGGGAATGTGAAGCCAGCAAGCAGAGGAGTAAACAGCTACTGAAACTCCAGAAGTATAAATTTTGTCTAGAAAATGTGGTGTGAGATTACCTTGTTCCATGATCAGAGGTAAAACACGATTTAAGAAGGACGAAGAGGATACTGGACTGAAAGCATAAGGGTGCTATGTTCTACCATAGAGCAGAACATTTCAGTAGTCATGTTTCACGGGCCTGGGATAGGACAAAGTCCCTTGGGCAGGTACAGCTCTGAATAGGAATTAAAACTCTGGTTTTGATTGGAACACTGGGAAATAATTACAAATACTATCTATATCTCCGAGTTATTATTTGTTGCTTGAATAAGCTAAGAAAAACTTCCTCTCTGAGAGTACTGCTGTGTGTCTCACTGCAAAGACCCTCCTTCCCCAGCATGGACCCGACCAGCTTCACCTGGCAACTCTGCAACACAACTTAGTTGCTTTAGCACAACAGGCCTGGCCATGGAAGGGACAAGACAACGGCAAAACAAAACAGAAAAAGAAGACAGGAGACTCTGCTTCAGCATTTTTTAAAGAGTCGCTCCAGTTGACCAAGACTAACTTGGCCCTATGAGCTTGTTATCGCTATTGTTCACTCCAGCCACACCAGCAAGCTGGCACTGCACCAAGAATGATCAGCTATGTCCAGGATGGTTTTAATTTCATGAGACAGGATTAACAAGGTTTCCCACAAAGCTAATTAGCCTATAAAGTAAAAATACAAGCGCTTGCTTGCTCTGGGGGAGGTGGTCTTTGTGTCTGGAAGAGGTAGAGACCAGATCAAGCTTTTAACAATCAGGACACCAGTGTAGGAAGAGCAGAACTGCACAGGATCTAGGTAATCCTGCTTAGGCTAAACTGTCAAACACAGTCTTAGACATCTACTTGTCATTTTGAATTCGTCAAGTTGTCTCATGTTCCAAATCTCAAATTTATATGAGCAATGAAGGCAGCTAAATAGACAACCACAGAGTTTACTTCTAAAACTTTATAGTTCTGAGCAGGCAAAAGCAAAGAAAACAGTAAGTTCAGATTCAAGAGTTATGAACATTTTTAGAACTGGCTTTAGAAGCACTTTGTTAAAAGAATTCTATTCAAAGGCTCATTAATCTGTGCTTCCTACCAAAACATGCTCCCACCTACACGCCTCTGCTCAGACTACATTACTAGAGTACTATCAACACTACAATAGGTTAAGGAAATGCCAGAAATCAGATAGTCGACATAACCTGCTTCAGCATAACTATACATTTTAAGCTACAGTTAGTATTTATAGGATGACATAATTACTTTAAATAATGTCCTGAACTGAGCATTTTAGGAAGCATTAAGAGTCCCATTTGTGCCAGCACATCTGTACAAATTTTAAGAGTATAAATAAACCAATAATGCTTTAAAGAGCAATGCTGTGGAGGTGAAGCAAATCCGAAGACTACATGTAACAGCAGCTTTGGCCTCAATACAAAAATCAGGAGAGGGGATGGAGAAAGTGACTCATCAGTAGCTGCTTGCTTGATTTTCCCCCAACTGTCTGAAAATCAAGAAAAGGGGGAGGTGTTCACAAGGATGTGAACTGGGGGTTATTTTTCCTATCTGAACCTGTGCAGACTGGAATTTCTTGATATACAAAAGGATTATAACAAATTCATTCCAGTCAACTGTAGAAACCCCACCTGCTGTGCCAGAGCAACTGGCTTTTAAGTCACGTGAGACATTCAAGCCTCATCATTAATAGCAGGAGAGACATCACTCTTACAATTGGCTTGATGTATTTAAACATTTATACTATAAACAAATTTTATGTTTAATAGGTGGCGAGTCTGAATACCAAAGTCAGATTTATTTGTATTCCCATACCATGCTTTTCCTGTACTTCAAGCATTCACCACATATGTTTACATCATCTTCTTGAAAGACAAGGTAAAAAAATGAGTTAAATACATATGTGTATGTATACACACATACACTTACAAATCACTATGGCTGGTTTAACTGTATTGTCAAACACAATCTAAGGGATTAGTTTGGTTAAGATGCATATTCAAGGCTTTAGGTTCTCACTAAGCACATTAGTGTCACTAACCTGAGATCCCTCTCCTGAGATTAAAGTGCCAGAAAGCACCTCACAGTGACTGCCAGCCCTCCAGGCACCAGCAGCTGCCTGGCTTGAATGCTGGCAGTGTCACTGAGCCCAGTGTGCCAGCACCAGAAGGACATGAAAAACAGATGCCCTCAATCTACCTTACACTGAGGTCCAATCCCACAAACGTGGTGCAGATACACCAAAAACTTAACGCATCCTAAAGGTGGCTGTGGGTGTCCCACTGATTTCTGAGGGCCCACAGTTGCTGCAGGCAATGGAGACAACCCAGAACAAACCCTGAACAGATTACAGAGGTCTGCATCAGAGCCTGGACCTGCAGCGCGAGCTACAGAATTGGTCTGCTCCCATCTCTTCCCTGCTGACTTAGCCCAACATCCATTTAGGTTAATCAGGCTTTTAGTCTTTTGCCAACTTAAACATAGCAAAAGCCTAATAGTTACAGCATTCCCAGAGACAGGAGCTCCAGCACCAGATCCAAATTAGTCTTGAGCATCTTGGAGATATGCTCTAATCCAAGCATGAAAATAGATACACTCACTCAATTGCTCTTTCTGCCTGACCCCTGCCAGGTATCGGTCTCAGCCTGGGGCAGAGACAGGGTGTCTAGAGGCTGAGGTTCACAACAGCTCTGCATTGCTCTCAACTCCAAGCAGAGCAGCAATTTCCACCTGTAAGAGGCACTAATTGGTGAAGATGAGCAATTACCGCAGCAAAAGCAAAACCTTTCAGGAGGAAATGCTGAGGACCCACCAGGATTACCTCCATCCGGAGACACTATACCACAGGATGTACTTTTCTGCTCTGTTCGATAAATGTACTATAGTATTATTTATTCATGATGAAGCTACTTTGCATGCTGCTGGCAATGAAACAGTATGAATCAAGTTTTGTATCACTGCTTTGAACGCTTGATTTTACAAACCTCATCTGCAGAAAGGTGATCACTGTTATAAATTCCTCACCATGGGACTTGAGGACACTATGAACAAACCCTAAGCCTCTGGTGGGAATTCGGCAGGTTCAAGGACCAATGTGAAGGGATTCTACAACCACAGACAGAATGCTAAGAGGTCCTGCACACCTAAAGCCTGATCTTAATTTGGTGTAACTACAGGATGGTCAAAGTTCTTATCACGAATTACAGTGCTACAGCTGTGACGCCTCATAGTTCAGATTTTGCCTAGTAGAGAGAACCAGCATGGTATAACCTCACCAACATAGCAAGCCTCTGGCACAGCCACACAGCAGGGACATACAATAAGAGTTACAGCTGGATGTTTCACTACGCTGCAGCAAAAATGCACGCCTTAAGAAAACTCAGCTGCATGACTAAACAGGAAAGACAACAGGCATGTAAGTCAGGCATGCAAACCTCTATTTTTACTTCGCCTACCCACCTCCCTGGGTCAGTGCCTGAATTTGGAATACCTGCGCCCCATGCTCCCCTACTTCATGCCCAGCAGTGCCCAAATCAGCTCAGAGGGAGCCTGGACAGATAGATAACTTCACAGAGGAAAGTGTGGTTTGTGACTGACAGCAGTAGTATAAATTTGTTATCAGTCATGTTACATTTAAAACAGTTAAGTCTATGGACACAAAAAAAAAAAAAAAAGAAAAAACAAACACAATGCTAAGGCAATGAGATGGAGCATTAAGGGATTAAAAGGCCTCATCTTCCCTTTGGCAGCTGGAATAATTGAAGGGAGAAAAATGAACAAAAAAATGTTACATTGGCAGGCTGAGACATTTTTGAGGCTATGGCACTACAGATGGGTATAACTGGTGAAGATCACACTTCTTGGAAGACAGAGATTTCATTTCTAAACCATATAATTTTAATCTGCCAGCTGAATGCTATAATTTTTGCCAGGCAACACTAAGAACTGTATGTACGTATGTTGCTGCTCATCTTCAATCACAAGGTGAAAGAAAAAGCAGGTAAATGCATTCAATTTAAATCACACGTTCTGAAGGAAAAAAAAGTGCAACATAAATGCAAGACTTAGTACAGCAAGGACTTAAATGCAGGCTAGAAAGCAAACCGTTGGGAAACAAAAAAAGAAAAAAAAAAAGGAAAAAGAAAAAGCCTTGTGCTTGCTGAGGCAGCCAATGCAGCATCCAAGACGCCATGTCTACCTGCTACTTCTATGGATCCAGACTGGAAGAGGCACTTTAAAAGGAGTGAAATTTAAGGTGAGGAGGAAATACCAGATATTCTTTCCAAAAGTGCCAGTAAAATGCATAAAGTACCAGCAAGGTTGTATTTATGTTTTCCACTGATACATGTACTTCACCTTCCCAGGATACTGTGACTGTGCCCTATCAGCTGGTAGCATTGTCAACAATACATATTAACAGGAGTATCCTGTGTTACAGGAAAGACAATAATCCATATTCTAACCGCGCACACAGGTAATTAAAAACAGTAACTGTAAGAACACAGTATTCCAGATTCACTATGAACACCGATTTGTTCTCCTACACCCCCAAACCCACAAATGTGATGAGTTTTTGCTCTGTATTAACAAGGCTGTTTCTATACGGAAGTCACGTGAAACACGACAGATGAACAGCCCACTGCTGCTCCCTCCCGAACAGCTGCAGGCGAAGGGCCCAGCTCCTTACCTTGCTTACACAGCATGACAACTTTTCAGAGGAATTACCCCTGGCTCATATTTGTGTACATAGAAAGAAGCTGCAGTTTCCCAGGGTGAAGAGAGTTGTAAAATTAATAACTGGGTACCCAATTATTACCAAGCTTTCTGCAAGAGAAAATAAGCATACACATCCAGGCACGAGCACAGGGGCAGATCTGACAGCACAAAAATGCCACCAGCTTTGCCATGCAAACTCACCAGTACAAGTGCTCTTCCACCATTTTTGTCACAGCTCTGGAAACAGCTCTTTCATGTGGACCAAGGTGTTTATTCAAATTCACTCCAAGTTTCTCTTCCAAAAAATCAATAATGAACTCAGTGCCAGATACTTGAGTGTGATTGTATTCAATCCAAGGCATTTTCCCTTGAGGGGAAAGTTTTCCATCAAAATAGTTCTAAGGAAAAAGAAAAGCAAGTAGACAGACAAAAAAGGCCCTTCAGGTTCTGTTTCAATGAGAATAAATCTTTTAAAATATTTTTCTGTGTTTTTAAAGGCAACATTATCCAACAAACTTTTTTTTTTCTTAAATTAATACTCTACGCTAGTGGCAGCTGTTCAAATTGGAGCTCTTGCTCTGATTGTCTATAGCATAATTCAGACAAAATTGTTTCCAGGCCCTGCAAGGTGTTATACACTATTATATTAGATGCCACATGATGAATGATTATTCAAGTACCCAGGTTATTTAAGGGTTGGAGGTGCTCAGATCTCCCAGAAGATTGGATCTGTTATTCTCAACAAGTTTTTAATCACAGGACTCAACTGCATTTGGCTTTTCCACAGAGCAGCACTTTTCATGTTAAATGTACTTTGTAAAGATTAACTCACTGCCTATCTCAGACAGCTGCATTACTGCCAAGGATGAAACGAGCACAATCACAAACGTATAATGAAAGACACATCATTCTCCCACTGAGCAGGAAGGAAATCTTTACATATGCCTTTACATATCCTTCTGCCACTTCGTAATTTAGAAATCTCATATACTTACAGACACAATTGTTACAATTGGGTCTCTGAAAGCCCTGCACCAGTACAGCACTAGCACATGGCTAAATAATGTTGTATCTGTTCAGGATTCAACGGAAGTTGCCATCTAATCAGACAGAAGCAACCATCTATTTTCCCCCAGTTTACAGTTGAAGAAGGTGAAACAGAAGTTAGAAAATTTATGTCTCATCATAAATAGGAGAGGAATTGCTGGCTGCCAAAAGTGTAATCAGATATTTGACTTCAATTGTGTCCTACTCCTGAAAGCAAAGACACAAGGCAGAACTTTCTTCCTTTCTTGCGATTCCTGTCCTTGAGTCCTATTATTTAGTGAATGAAAAATCCTAGCTCAGAAAGCTGAATCATAAAGGCTCACAATAAAGACCCTCCACCTTCTGGAAGTAACCTTAAGCATTTCAGGATGTAGCTCCTCACTGCTAGAGGTTTTGGGTTAGCAGTTCTGGACTGACCTGTTTGGGTCCCAAGTATTTAGCCTTCCTGAATCCACTAAAGATGGACTAAGGTCCTCTCACAGCAAGAAGTATACACCAGAATGTGCCTCCAGCTCAGTCTAAGCGCGCAGCATCCTGGCTGCCGCTCAAACGCAGATGTGCAATGCACTAGGAACACGCTGCCATTCCCGGAGGTTCTACCCATGTGGATGAAAACACAAAACAGGTAACACTGCTGGGAAAACAATGCCTTCTGGCTGTGGCCTCTTCTGGGATTCCTGCCCAAACAAGTATGGTAGGGACACCAGATTATATAATGTCTCACCTACTGCATCCCTGACTGGGTGAATGAAGCAGCCAAATCCCCTCCGCTTGCATGTGTTAGTGACATAGGCATTACTACTCTGGTCCATGGGAGAAACTCTAAAACTGATGGACATCTGAAACTGAAAGGAGAACACTGCCACATCCTTCCACCTTCCAGACCTTTCCTTCATGAAGAAGGCTCTTTCAGCACAAAGGTTTCCATAATTTTTCATTATGAATTTAATACAGAATCACGAGCCTTTTCTGCAACTACTCAGTGCGTCTATATGGCAATGAGCATTGCTGGCTTAATCTTTGTTAAGACCCTTCAGCATGAGACCTCCCTTCTTGTGCATAAATACTGGTGTTTTGTAGAAGCTGCTAGACTTGAAGATGTGTTTATTACATATTGCAATTACCGTAGTCTATATCATTTGCAACCCAGAAAAATAGTAAGTTCTTATTCAGCTGCATATTTCTTCCAACACATATAGAATCATAGAATCACAGAATAGTTAGAGTTGGAAGGGACCTTAAGATCATCTAGTTCCAACCCCCCTGCCATGAGCAGGGACACCACACACTAAACTATGTCGCCCAAGGCTCTGTCCAGCCTGGCCTTAAACGCCTCCAGGGTTGAAGCATTCACAACTTCCTTGGGCAACCTATTCCAGTGCCTCACCACCCTCACTGTGAAGAACTTCTTCCTTGTATCTAACCTAAAGTTCCCCTGTTTAAGTTTAAAGCCATTACCCCTTGTCCTACCACTAGAGTCCCTAATGAAGAGTCCCTCCCCAGCATCCTTGTAGGCCCCCTTCAGATACTGGAAGGCTGTTATAAGGTACATTGCATAAGAACTTGTTAGTACTGCATTAATATTACACTCTCAAAAAACACAAATGAGAGCTAAGGTTCTCACAGCAAAACTGGTTTACCTAAACTTAAAAAAGCCTTTTCAGGATTTGCATGTTTCATTACATACAGCTTACCAAACAAAATAGGAAACCTCTTTCAATGACCTGAGAAAACCTTAGTCTCTTGACAAATCTGTTATGCTGTTCTCATATCCACTGTTCTCAGATGGGTATTTTTAGGCTTGAAACCTCCATATCCTTATGGCTGCTACTAATTGCCATCAAATATTTATCCATTTTCCACTTAAAAATTGTTCCAGCTGCAAATCTGGAAAAAACTGTGGTATTCTCATTAAAAACAAAAAAAACCCAACAAAATGTCCCCTCATACCTCATAGTACATTTAACTGAACAGTAGCCTGCAGAGCAACAACAACAAGAGCTCCCTAGAACCTCATTTATGGAGGAATTTATACAGAGAATGGTACAGGGCATTTCTGGGGTAATTTTACAATACTATCCAGAAGAAATTAGGTTCCACATTTTCAGTTACTGCTGCTTATGCTTTTACTTTTACTGATGTCCCTTCCCAAAGAACCTACTATCTTTGCAGCCTGTGCTAATTACTTATCAGATTACATAAACCCTCAGCTCTTCACATTTGTGAGGCAATCAAGGAACACCCAAAAGATGTCCACAATAATACAGAATGGTCTCTTTCAAAGCAAGCTTTATCAAGAAAAGCATCGATGGTTTTGAAAGAACAGCCAGGTACTATGACAGCCCAGCTGGGGTGGGGCTGCCCTAATTACTTTTGATGGGGAACTCATACCCAGACAGGCATCTTCAGGAAAACAAGCACATTACAAGAGTGCATCTGATGGGAGAAAATCAGGTGAGAGTAAGGTAGGAATGTGTCACCCAGTTCCACTTCTCACATGCCATTAAAGCATTGTTGTGTAACACAGCATGTTACTCGATAGTCTGATGCACTACAATAAACATAAGGCATCAGAAGAGTAAAAGCAGTCTGACCACACTGCAGCCTTTTCTTCATTTCACAACCCTCCCTTCGAAGCAGCCTCTTCGTGGGAAGGTGATGACCATAGCAAGTCTCCAGAGGTGAGCCCCAGCACCAGCCACCACCCGGAGTGCCATCACTTCTCTATCATGGTCCTCACCAGCACACAGAGAAGTGAGGTGTTTCCTCCTGCATCCAGCCATATTCCCTGCTGGAGGAGCCATCGCATGTCTCTGTCGCCACCGGTGTCTTACAGGTAACGCAGCCACAAGCAAATAAAACAGAAGTCTCCATGTAGTCTAAGTACAGGAAACTTCCTTAATGCCAGCTGACAATGTGCCTGCTGGCTCCCCTCCTACTGCCTCCTGCTCCCTACCACTTAATCCAATGTGACAGCATCTGTACTTTCCTCCACCCAATGGAGCCAAACACAACACCGTATCCTAACAAAAGGACAGAAACAGAATCTGCCTCTTTTGGGGAGAAAAAAGGTGCTTCCTCAACTTGTAAGCTTAGCTCTACCTCCAAAACCTTGCATAAGGCTGTAATCCCACGAACACCTCAAGCCTATATAAACTGGGATGGCTAAAATCAGCAACCTGGTGTTCCCAGCACCCGCAGGACCCATTATGGCACATGGAGCATGTGGGGAACCACGCTGGATTATAACCAAATAAACTAAACCTTCATGGCTCCAGCTAGGCCAGCTCTGGACCAGTCTGATCTGGCACAAGCAAACACATGCAGGGCGGGACAAGAAGGAGCTGCTGGAGACAGGACTGTTGATTTTGGTGGTCCTGCTGACCTACACCAGCTTAGCGTGCTCACAGCTAGCACAAAGGAATAGAAATAGATGCAACCCCAAAAAGCAATGCTGACTGTCAGTACAGAAAAAATAAAGAGGGGAGGATAACCCTCTGGAAATCACTCTCCCTCCGAAAAGCTGAATGACTCACTTCTAGCCAGCAGGAGCTGTCTGAACGGCTCCATCCCAAACCACACAAATGCATGGTGCTGTCTTTTACAAGTGACCATACCCTGCTGCAACCACCTCTTATACTGCAGCTTGCTTTAATTACTCTCCACCAAAGCAACTTTAATCATCACAAACATATGAGCCACATCAACTGCCATTAGAAAGAAAATAGATCTCACCAATATAGTTTTCCCTTCAAATGTGCATTTTCTACCTAAATTACTCTGGGTGGAGAAACACTGTGCACTAAGTCCTCCTGCTCCAATGACATGTTTAAACTTCAGTATCTTGCAGGTTCTGTACACTTAAATGTAACAAACGCATCCCACAGATGGAAATCTTCCTCTTTAATGCTCTGAAGTATCTGATTCAAGTACCATTAAATCCTAAGATAATGAATATTAAACTCGGGCTTTTAAAGACTTAAGCAAAATATACCAATTAGGGGTTTTCTTTCACTTATGATGTAAAGGAGTTTAATCACATATGAAGCCAAATGAACATCAAGCACAAATGTGCAGAATAAAAAAAGTTGTAATATGGTTCATTTTCCTCTATAAAACGTTGAACATAAGCAAAACATTCTTCTTAACACCTTGGTATACAGCAGTAATAAATGACTTGAACCCACATAGGGTGAGCATGCAACTTACCCACAGCTCAGTCTCTTTGAGACAAAGAAGGATGCCAAATTTATATAACTTAGGAGACGTCTTCTACCTAAGATCCTCATTATATTTACCGCCACTGTTCCATCACCTGAAATGCACTCAATGCTTTACAAAAGCAGACAAGAGACAAGAAACTGGCTCCATGTTTCAAAGACCCTGTACGCTATACAGCTTGCCAACACCGCTGCAATGCACACGCCAGACTCACGGCATCACAACTCAACCTTTATGCTATTCCTGCTCTCATGGCTTTCATTTGCCAGACTAGCTCAAGCTTCATCCCCTGCCCTGTTGGAAGATGGCACAGAATGTACCCAACCACAGTTAAGAAGCAGTATTCACAACCTCTAAAAGCAATCCTGTCTCCCTTCACTGGGAGGAAGCACCAGTGATGGGAGGTGAAGCAAAAGGCAAGCGTGTCTTCCCACAAGAGCTCTAAAGAGAAACCCTCCAGGAAAGTAAGAAGCTGCAGCTATCAAATCTTGATCTCTTCAGCATGGTGAAATTCAAAGACCACTAGGTTTAGGTCTGGGGTATTATTTAGCATTATATAAACTCCAGACTACACTCCAACACTTCCAGCCAAGTTAACTTCCAACATTCACGTAGCTTTGCCAGATAAACCTAGAGCTGTTCCAGACCAATCTCATTCAAGCCATATCTTCAAAGGTTACACACTAAATTTAACTGGAGACATAAAAGTGTACTCACCTAGTTGCAGGTGTAGCTTTACATCTTTCCTGGGTGAGACAGATGGGGGGGGGGGAGAAGGACAGGATGCCTATTTGTCATTTCATGCAATTACAGCCAGCTGCAATGTAAAGGAAAACGGCATGATGTACCTGGTAGGGCAGATCAGCCATCCTCAAGTAAGTTTCCATTTTCAAACAGAACGGAGACAAACTTGGAACACCATTGGTAGGCCTCGAAAACTGGTGCAGTATGATAGCATCTTTCGAATCAAGCTCTTCCTCCTTCCTGCCAGAAACAAAGCAGAATTAAAAATAAATAAATAAGTCACCAAAACCGAACAGGTGCGTGACCCACCAGCTCATCAAACACACACAGGAGAAGCCCTCATCGAGGCAGCGCACACATCACAGCCTGCAGCAGGGGTTTGATGCACCGATCCCGAGCCCAGGCCACGCTGGGGCTCGGCTCACCCCGCACCGGCAGCGCTGAGCTCCGGCAGTGTCCG